GTGAAGGTTATAAGTGTGGAGTAAATAACTCAAATATGTGGTGAAAAGCTGATTAATGGGTTCTCAAATTTCTTCATGACTCCTTCAGCCTCCTCAGCTGATGTGTTTGGCAAACCACACTGGTGAAAAATGACGTTTTCCACCTGAGGTCTCTGAAATTAGCTTCAGAAATAAGTGCATGTGCATCACTTCAAATAAAGGAACTGTAGAAGTCTCCAGAGACAGGGACACGGTATAACAATGGGCTTGCAGCTTGAGCATTTGGTGGAAATCAAACAAGCTTCCCAGAGAAGAGACTGGGTGGCCAGGATATTCGCAGATGGCAGGAGAGGGGCAGCAGGGGGCCTCCCTGGGTCTGGATGGTGACCTCAGATGTGCTGATGTCAGGCCACCTCGTCCTCACTCCTCCATTTATTGAAAGAAAGGCAGTGGGGGATGGAGGTGTATTACTGGGATGAACCCAGAACAGAATAAGCAGAATTCTGTGCTATCTTGGGGCCACACAGACGGGAAAGAGAAGAGGAGGGAGGCAGGGTGTCTAGATTCAATTTCTCTGTTACCTGGGATTTTCCCCCCAGAGACTCATGCTTCAACAACTAGACTCTGCCAATGGCACCATTAGGGTAACTCTAAATCCTACTCCAGAAGGCTGGGGACTTTCAGTCCTCCCCAGCACCCCTTCAAGTGTGAAGTGAGATCTGATATCCATAAAGGACATTGACATTGGGTAGAAACACCTTAAGAAAGACTTTAGTGTCCTTTTCCTGACCAAATACCCACAGGCACATCTGGCCCTGGGCTGGGCATGGTATGGGCAAGACCAGGAGGCACAGCTGGAATGCAAACAGACCTGGCTTAAGACCCAGCTCTGCCACTTACCAGCTGTGTGTGGTGGCTCTGACAAAGTCACCCAGTCACCTACAGCTTCAATCACTTCACCTCTCTACCCAGGATCAAGTTATAAGCTATGTGACTCATTTTTCTATATTTTCTTTGGAGAAATGTACATTCAAATCCTTTGCCCATTTAAAAAATTGGATTATTTGTCTTTTTATTACTGAGTTGTAAGAATTCTTAATATATTCTGGACACTAGACTCTTATTGGATATATGATTTGCAAATATTTTCTCCCATTTAGTGGGCTGTCTTTTCACTCCCTTAATGGTGCCCTTTATTGTACAAAAGTTTTTAATTTTGATGAAGTCCAACTTATCTATTTTTTATTTGATTGCTTGGGTTTTTGGTATCATAGCTAAAAAATTGTTGCCTAATCCAAGGTCATGAATATTTATACCTATGTTTTCTTCTAAGAGTTTTATGGTTTTAGCTCTTATGTTTGGGTTTTTGACCCATTTTGAGTTAATTTTTGTACATGATGTGAGATAGAGGACCAACTTCATTCTTTTGCATGTGGATATCTGATTGTCCAAGGACCATTTGTTGAAGAGACTATTCTTCCCCCATTAAATTGTCATAGAACCATTGTTGAATATCAATTGACTATAAATGGAATGCTTTATTTCTGGATTCTCAGTTCTATTCCATCAATCTATATATCTGTCCTTATGCCAGTACCACATTGTCTTAATTACTATAGCTTTGTAGTAAGTTTTGAAATCAAGAAGTGTTAATCCTCCGATTTCGTTTATCGTTTTCAAGATTGTTTTGGTTATTCTGCAGCCCTTACATTTCCATATAAATTTTAAGATCAGTCTGTCAATTTCTGCAAAGAAGCCACTAGGAATTTGAAAGAGATTGCATTGAATCTGTAGATCAATTTGGGTAGTATTGCCATCTTAATAATAATATTCCATCTCCCTGTGTTCATGATTAGTGTTGGGTAGCATGTGATCCATGACTTTCTACCATGATAAATGGTAGGGTGACTAGCCCCCTTCTGCTTTGAATGAGGTTGCATGAGCAAGTGACACTTGCTGCTGCGTGGCAGCCTTTCTGTGACCATATGGCAGCAAGCCTAAGAGGAAAGCTACTGAAGATGGCAGAGCAGAAAGGGCAAGCCTGGGTCTTCACAACATCTCTGAGTGCTGCATCTACTCTGGGACCATCTGGATGCCACGTGGATCCTGCTCTGGCAGCTGAGGCAAAGGGGAGAGGGTGGGAGGTGGGAGGATGGATGCTAGCAGTCTGGAAGAGGTCCTTTGAGGGTCCACTAGTTCACAAAATATGCCCTTCTGCTTTTGCCAAAGACCCACGTGACTTTCTAGGGCTCTAGTTCTAACTTGTCCAAATGCTCCCATCACCGCAGTTGTTTTCAAGGAGTGTGGATCCTGTAGTGGGTCAGATGGCTCCTTCTACCCCTTTTTAGCCTCACACCTGTGAAACAGGTATTGTCATCCATCTTATTCATAGAAATGGTGGCTTAGGAAGATTAATTGACTTGTCCAAGGTCAACAGCAGAATTGGGAATCAACTTGGGTTCTCTGCTGCTGAGACCCGGCCCCTGCTCACGGCACCCCCATTGCTTTCAAGGCTAAACCCCATGACTCCCTCCAGACTCCACCCATCCTCCTTGCATCTCCTGAACAATAACTGCCTGTTACCATTACTGCCACCCCTTGGACCCAGTGAGTCCAATTCAAATCCTAGGTTGAGTTCTGCACTGGGAGTTGATGGAGTCAGGAAAACACAATTCACTTCATAAGAGACCTGTGGAGAGGGGAGGGCGGTTGCGTGAGTAAAGGGCACTGTGCTGGGTGGGGCTGGGGTAGGGGCAGCTCTGCCTGGGGGACGCAGACTGCCACACAGAGGGGCAGGGCACCGCCCTGAACCAGAGGCTCTTCCTATTTGGGTGATTTGGTGATTCGGGGAAGGTTTCCTGAAGGAGGTTGGGCTCTGGAAAGGGGAAATGGGGATTCTGGGCACAGAAAATGCTGGAGCGGAGCCCAGGGCCCTGCAGCTGCAGGGTGTGCAGGAGCCACCCACAGAACCAGCTGGACGCCCGCCACCTCCTCCCTCTGCCAACTCTCCAGAGAATGCTCTGACCATCCCCGCCCTGCCCTGAGACCTCCCCAGACTGGTGCCCTGGCACCTCCAGCCCAGCAGTCAGAGCTTCCCCTGCCAGATCTTCCTTTTCTCCACTCTTCCTGGGTGTGGCGTCCCTGGGCAAGACCTTAATGCCACCCCTGCCCAGCATGGCTTCCCACCCTGGCACCTCCCCACTGCCCACTCTGCAAAAGCCAGCGCCCCAGAAAGCCTCCTCTGACTCGGTCCCCTTGGCCGCTCCGAGGAGAGGGCGTGCTCGTCCGTAAACTGCCTGAGCTCTCTGACCTGATTAATCACCTGGTGGCAGGAGCAGTCTGTGTCAAGTGCTGTGGGAACAAGGCTGGGGGAGCAGGTGTGTCAGAACTCAGATGACCAGGGCATGGAACGTGTGGGCTCGCCAGTATTTTAACCTGTAAATCAAGCTTTTCCATTATAGAAGTAACGAAACTTTATGGAAAATAGAAACAAAAAATTCCCTATGATGATCTTACCCAGCTAGGACGTCTGCTCTGAGTGCTTTGGAGATTTCGCTGTCCTTGTTATAGGGGTAGATGTTACTGTTCATGCCTTTTAGAGGCTGGGGCGGGGGGAGGGTTTGCTGTTGTTATTACAGCTACCTTGATGTATATACTTCATTATCATACAATGCATCCATTTCCGGTGTACGGTTCTGAGGCTTTTTTCCTATATTCACAGAACTGTGCAATCATTGCCAAATTGAGAACGTTTTCATCACCCCCTAAAGAAATCCTGCGCCCTTTAGCAGTCACCCCCATGTTTTATGTTTCGCTTAACATTACTTTACAAGCACTTCCTCAACTATCCTCTTTGGTGGCTGCTAGCGAAGGCTTTCGGGTGGGGCAATGGCAAGGCCAGGAGTGTTCCAGAACGACGCGTTGGTGAGGGCTCGGACGCGCGGTGGAGCGGCGAGGAGGCCGGGGCAGAGGGGAGCTGGAGGGAGCGGACGGCGAGGGGGACCCCGGGCGCGACGCGCGGGACGGGAGAACCGGAGCTCCGGAGGCAGCGCCAGCGACACTGCGCTCCTGGGGACGTGACGGTGGGGGCTCGGCGCCAGCAACTTCCCGGGGCGGGTGAGGGTCGCGGGTCAACTGCCGGCCGCGTCCCAGAGAAGAGGCAGAATTGAAGATGAGCCAGGCTTGCAGGGTTGAGGGCGCCGGTGGGACGCGACGCGTCAGGGCCGGAGCGGGGAGGCTCGGGCGTTAGGGCGCGGGCCGCGTGGGAGGCCGCGTGTGCAGGGTAAAAGGAGGGCCCGGGAACCGGCCTTTCGGGAAGTGGACGAGGAAGTGCAGGACATGTCACAAGGGGTAAGGCCGCGACGGAGCCGTCCTGGCAGCGGCCGGGAGGGCAGAGGGCTGGCGCCCCGACGGGCAGGGGCGGGTGGCGCGGCGACGGCAGCTCGGGTGGTGACGTGCGGCCGAGGCTGCCGCTCCAGCGGACTGCGGGTCGCGCCCTCCCCCGCCGGCGGCGCCTCGTCCCGTTCGCGGCGGAGCTCTGCCTGCCCACGGCGTCCCCCAAGGCTTCAGGTCCCCAACTCGCCCCGCTCGGAGGCAGAGTGGCTGTGGGCTGCTCTCGGCGGGCTCCGCCGGCAGAGCCGGGGCCCAGTCCCGGAGCCACTCGGGCTCCGCGCTCCCTGGCTGGAAGACCGCGACCGCTCGGAGGCCCCGCCGAGTCGAGCTTGAGGAAGGTTGGGGAACTTGTCCTAGTTAGACATCGGCCGGCACCGGACGCCGCGCGCCGCCCGGACCGCAGCGGCCCCGCGCGGGCGCGGACCTCGGCCTGCACGAGGGGCGGTGCTCCGCTCGGAGTCAGAGACAGGCGGGAGCCCCGGCCAATGGGCGCCGCCGCCTGCTCGCCGCCCCGCCCCTGCCCCGGGCCCCGGCCCCGCCCCCCGGCCCCGCGCGTGGGCTGCGCGGCTCAGAGGCTGGTCGGAGGCGCGGGCTGAGGCGGAGTAAGGCGGGCTGGGCGCTGCGGCCATGCCAGGTGGGGCCCAGGAGCTGCCCCGGTAGGCGACGCCGGCGCCAGGGCGGCCCGGCCATGCTGCTAGAGGTGCAGGACGCGCTGTACGTGGCGCTGGAGCTGGCGGTCGCCGCGCTGTCGGTGGCGGGCAACATGCTGGTGTGCGCCGCGGTGGGCACGTCCAGCACGCTGCAGACGCCCACCAACTACTTCCTGGTGTCCCTGGCGGCGGCCGACGTCGCCGTGGGGCTGTTTGCCATCCCCTTCGCGATCACCATCAGCTTGGGCTTCTGCACTGACTTCCACAGCTGCCTCTTCCTCGCCTGCTTCGTGCTCGTGCTCACGCAGAGCTCCATCTTCAGCCTTCTGGCCGTGGCCGTCGACAGGTACCTGGCCGTCTGCGTCCCGCTCAGGTGAGGCGCGTGGCGTCCCCCGACCTCGGGAAGCCGTCAGAGCCCCGAAGAGGGTCGCCCTCTCCAGGCCCAGATTACGGCCCTCCGGGACCGCATACGGGCCAACCCGGGGACGCGCTGGGAGCTCAGAGCCCTCGTTTGTAGCCTGGAGGACGCTGGCCCCCGGAGACAGTGCACCTGCTGTGCCCAGACCCTTGCGGTGCCCGGAACGGGACCCCGGCGAGCTCTGCGCCCATCCGTGCGTCCTCAGTGCGCGCGTCCCTCTAAGGGGAGCTGCCCAGGGACAACTTCACGGGTCCGGGGCGCGGGGCGCCGCGGAAAGCCCGGGGAAAGCGCCACCCCGCGCACGGGTGGAGGCTCGGCGCGGAGAGTTGGTGATCGCAGCTCCACTCGTGTGGCGAAGGCCGTTTCCGCTCTCCATTCACCCGCAGCGGCGGCGGTGTCCCCGAGAGCCCCCGCTTCTCGGCGGAGCCCTGTGAGTGCTGGGGGTTCGGGAGGCCGGGGAGGTCCCGGACAAGGACAAGGCAACCCGGGACGCTGGGAGTTAGCAGTGTCAGAAGGGTCACTACTCATGACCCAGCTTAAGAATGTGCCTGCTGCAAAATGAGACGGCCCGGCCGATCCGAGGGGGAAGGTGCTGGTTAACTTTGGAGAATGCGACGGACACTTGTCCCTGCATGTTTAGGGGTGACTCAAATCACGTCCATATACTTTAAAAAAAAGAGTTACAGTGTTTCCCTGTTCGCCAAACACCGATAAACAACCGTAGAGCCCCCATGCTGCGGTGCAACCCTCTTCATCTCATGCTGCCCTGTTGGAGCAGGCTGGAAAGTGCCACGAGGATTTCAGAAAATGTGGAGAACTTACCTGTGCTCTGTTTCTCCCACGCTGAGAGAGTGTAGATTGAGAGGATGGAGTCAGCCAGCAGATGGAGTGGATCCTCAGCTACAGCTACAGATAAAAAAAAAAAACGGAGAGTTTGTTCAAAATATTTATTCTCTGTCTACAGTGCCTGGGCCCCTTTGGCATTTCTGAGATGAGCTTGGGGTCTCTTTAGATTTGGAGCTGAGACAGGGAAACTAAGTCACAGAGTAGGAAGGAAGGGAAGGAACTCATTTATTGGGTGCCAGCTATGTGCCAGGCAGTTTATATTAAATGTATACCTACGAATCCTTGCAGCAATTCCAGAGAATACTTACTGTTACCTGCATCTTGTAGACTCAAGGTGGTGGCTCAGAGAGATGAGAGTCTTGCTCAGGATGGTGTCTCTGTAAAGAGAGTCAGAGCTGGGACTTGAGCTCAGAGCTGACACCATGTTCCCACCCATGCCATCAGGCTGTGTTACAGGGCTGTGGGAAACAGGGAGAAAAACCTTCTGCTATTTCTGGAGGATGATCCTGCCTGCAGTAACTGGTGGTTGAGGGGAATGCGTTTGTGGGGACTAAGCGGGAGAATGCTCCCAGAAGCCTTTCAAGTAGGCAGATGTGTTGAGCCTGGTCCCTGTAGGTTGTGTCCTGGGTTCCAAAGGGAACAGGAACCTCTGCTTGGCTGGGCTGTGAGCCTGATGAGCCTGGGCTGTGAGCCTGGGCTGTTCCATGCACCGCTGCCCTTGGCATGAGACCAGGAGGCTTCATGCACCCCATCAGGTATGGTGGAGCCCAGGGGTTTCCAAGACTTGGGGCAGCACAACAATCTCCTCTCTCTTACAGGTCCCTTCTCTGTCCGCTGTTCTCATAGTGGTTACTTTATGGCCTCTTGGACTTTTTGCATCCAGCAGTGCAGTCACAAGCCCCAGCCTGAGTTGCCCATCTAATGGGAGCCCCTCGGGCTTGCCCTGGCAGAGATCCAGAGACCCTAGCTCACCCGGAAGAATCTCCTGGGCCACAGGGAGCAGGAAGTTCCATAAAAGCTTAAATTTGTCAATTCTTGTCCTGGTTTGTGCTGGGCGGAGTCTTGAAAAAAATTGAGGATGGGTGTGTTGAGGGGAAAGAGATGTGAATCACAGGCCCCTAACTTCTCTTTTGCATTTGCTAAGGGCAGGAGGGGAGATGTATGTAGGTGCAGGGAGGGGAGAACGCTGACGGGGGGGTGGGGGAGCATTGGCATGAGGCTCACGGCATCCTGCCCTCCTGGTCCATCCACAGCACTCAGAGGTCTGGAACAGGTGTATGCAAGCAGCCCCCTCAACGCCTTGGCCCAGAAGGTATGGGTGTTTGACATGCCCACAGCATCAGTCCCCACCCTGGTAGGCTGGAGAGGTGGACCTGGGTCCTCATGGCTTCCCTAAACCCTCCTGGGGGCTGGTGCCTGGATCAGGCTTTCTTCTCTGGCTGTTCCAGCAGTTCCTGCTTCTAGAGAGCATGGCCCCATGAGCAGCTTAATAGTGCAGATTCCCTGTAGTGCAGGGCCCTACTGAGTCAGAATCTCTGGGGTGGGGTGTTTGAGCGATTCTAGTATTAATATCTTTAACAAACCAGGGACTTTTGCTTCCACCAAAGTTTGAGAATTCTCCTAAAGTCAGGGGACCTTGAGGCTCCCCTCACTTGATTGATACAGACCAGGTTCCAGGGTGCCCCAAGCTCTGACTTGGCTCTGAGGCGCTCCTCCTTGGGGTCGTGGAACTCCAGGTGCGGGTGTCATTTTGGGAGGCAGTGTCTCCCGTTCGAAGCCAAGCAGTAACGAGGGTGAGGTGCAGCCAGTCAGGGCCAAAGGCTTAGGCACGCATCTGACTGGGCAAAACAGTCCTTGAACTTGCCCCCGTTTACTGGCTGCGTGTGAGGCCTGTGCCCCCACCTGCCATCCAGTTGCCAAGGTGTTTACTGAGGTGAGATAGATTACAATGTAGAAGGAAAGGGGTGCCCGAGAAGTGATGTTAGGTACAAAAATGATACCTTTGGCGTGACTGGAGAAAGGAGTGCCTGCTCACATCAGGCACTGCCCTTTGCCTGCAGAGTGAGGGGTGTCCACAAACAGAAGAAAGTCCATTTCCTCTAGTGCAAGTCCACAGGCAGTTCCTGATGTTGGTCCTAGCGAAGGGTCGGGTCCCAGTGGTGCCATGGGAGCGGTGTGCAGGTCGGCAGGTGGGCGGAGGGCGTCTCTGCCCACAGCTGCTCCCACTCTCACTTCGCCCTCCGGCAGGAGCACTTCCTCCTCCCTAATCTAACCCTGTTCCCCTGCACACCGACCAGCTCCGGCGTGGGGGCCTTCCCTGCCCTGTGGATTCGGTTCCCCAGCAGCGCTGTGGTGCTGAGTGTTGGGCAGGGCTGAAGGCCAGCCGTCTCCCCAGTGGGGCTGAGCTGAAGAGGGGTGTGGTACAGGGAAGGTTTGGTTGGCTGGATGGGTCAGCAGCGCAGAAAGGGCGTGTTTGACCCGTCTGTGGACCCTGCCCCCATCACCCTGCCTGCCCTCTGCCACGTTGAGGCTTTTTCTCTGTGCCTCACATTGTCCCATCCGGGAGGTAGGGATTAAAGACTTCTTAGCAAGACTTTATGCCTTGGGTGACAATGTGGCCTCCACTTGGGGTAGGAGTTGGTCGGGGACTCTGAAAAACGTTTTTAAATGGAATAATTCCCATATGATAAAATTCACCTTTAATGTTTTGAAATAAAGCTAGGAAGGGAAATTTTCAGCTCTGGGTTCTACCCCTGCAGCCTTCCCCAGGACTCCCCTCCTTGGGCCCCCCTTCATCAGTGTCAGCATTACCTTTCTCTTCCACACCATCCCCACTGTAGTGGGCTGAATGGTGCCCTCCAAAAGAGATATGCCCACGTCCTAATACCAGGAACCTCTGAGTATCCCCTTATATGGCAAAAGAGAGAATATTGCCTCATGTGGATCTTGAGAGGAGCTTGGTGGGATTATCCGGGTGGCCCCTGAATAATGCAATCACACCTTATAAGACAGACACACAGAGAAGGCCATGCGAGCGTGGGAGCAGAGATTGGAGTGATGTGGCCACAGCCAGGGATACCAGGGCAGCCACTAGCAGCTGCAAGGGCAGAGAACAGAGTCTCCCCTAGAGCCTCTGGAGGGAGCGTGGCCCTGCCCTCACCTCCAGAACTGTGAGAGAATAAGTATTTATTGTTTTAAGCCACCAAGTTTGTGGTACTTTGTTAGAGCAGCCCCAGGAAGCCACGCATCAGTATATGGGTATGTGTGAATCAATGCCCCCCACTTTCTGATCCACTCTTTTGCCTCCCCCCACAGCAAACTTCTTCAGCAAGCCATTTGATCACCTCCACTTCTGTTGTCACCACAGTGCCACTGAATTGCTCCTGTCAGGTCACCCATGCAATGTTCCCCTTTTGGCTAAATCTCGTGGTCACTTCTTGGATCTCATTGTAAGTGTCCTCTCAGCAGTTCTCGACGAGACCCTCCCCAGCTCCTGCTGGGCACCGGGGAGCCTCCACCTGGTCTCCTGCTCCCTGTAACTCTCCACAAGTGCCAGAGGGGACGATTTAAACCGTAAGTCAGATCATATCATTCCCCTGCTTAACACACTGCCCTGGCACCTAGGGTGAAGTCCGGATGCCCTGTCTAGGCGGAGCCCCTGCATGGTGGGGCCTCTGCCACCCCATCCTGCACCCCCCCGCTGCAGCCCAAGTTCTTTGCGCGCCTTTCCTTGCTTCCCCCATGTGGAGAGGCTTCTCTCAGCCCTGCATTTACCACTAACTCTAACTATCCCTTTGAATTATGTCTTTACTTACGGTGTCTTTCCACCCAGAGCGTGAGCTCTGCGAGGGCAGGGGCTTTGTTTGTATTTCAGGACTCAGCACGAGCTAGGCACGGCTAGGAAACCATGTTCTGAGTGAAGACATGAGTGACTGGGTGAAAGGGGCATGTGTCAGGGTGTGTCATGCCAAGGGGAACAGCTGGCACAGGGTGTGGGGACTGTGTAGGAGAGGACATGGGAAGGGAACATCCACAGTGAGAGCAGGAGCTCCCTGGGGAAACGCCAGAAGAAAAGCTGGCCCAGCAAGCATTAATGAAGAGGGGAGAGG